GAGCTTGGGGAAAGCAATCACAAATCACTCAGTTTCAATATATGGAATTACCTTAATATCCACAATTAAGTCAAAGTCCCGGATTTTCATGCAACCAGTTTTGTGGGGCTGAGGATTATCTGGGTGGAACTCTCTAGGGTGACCTGACAAGTCTGGTAGGTGGCAATGGTTGCCAATATGACATTTTTCAATGCATATAGTTCAAGCTGCACAGGCAACATATATTCCAAATAGTGAAATTAGATAAAACAAAAATGAACCTGAATGGATGAACAATAGATTGAAGCATCTCATAGACCAAAAAGGAGGCATTTACAGGCAACTCAAAAGAAGAGAGGGACACAAGGAAACAATATATTGAAATAGAGAGAGAAATAGTACATAAGAAAAACCAAAACAGAATATGAAATTCAAGTTATAATTTATTCGAAGACCAACCCAAAAGGTTCTTTCAGGTATATAGGAGTAAGATTAGGTGGAAAAGATAGGCCCACTTAAAAGTTGCTCAGTTCAGCTCAGTATCAGGATGATACTAGCAAAATTCGAAAAATAAAAAATATTATAGGTCAGGACGAAAATTAGTTATGCATGATTAAAATCACAAGTGACATGGTTCTAAGACAAATATGGTAAAACCAAAGAAATCACCAGGCCATAATGAACTGGTTATAAAGGAATGTTAGGGAGAACTTAGCAAACCGTTAGCTAGTCTTTTCAACATTTTACTGCCAACTGGTATAGTGCCAGATAAGTGGAAAATGGAAAATTTGATACCTATCTACAAAGCAGGAGATGGGTTGTTAACTTCGAATTATAGACTAATTAGCCTAACCTCCATTGTGAGAAAATTGACAGAATCAGAAATTGCCGAGACTATTCGAAGCCATCTTGAAAGACAAACTGATCAATGAATCTCAGTGCGGTTTTACAATTTACTAACGAATTTACTAACTTTTTCATAATGAATATGATATTGTATATATGGACTTCAGTAATGCCTTTGATAGAGTTCCACACAGGGGATTGTTGAAGAAACTAGAGGCACACGGAATAAGAAATGTTTTTTTTTTTTTTGATCGAGGTGTGATTGACAGGCAATAATGTTTGCTTGAATCGGGAGAAATCAAAGTGGGGGTGCGTTACAAGCAGTGTTCCATAGGGGTAGGTTTGGATGTTCCATAAAGGTAGGTTTGGGTGTTCCATAGGGGTAGGTTTGGGTGTTCCATAGGGGTAGGTTCGGGTGTTCCATAGGGGTACGTTTGGGTTTTCCATAGGGTTAGGTTTGGGTGTTCCATGGTGGTAGGTTTGGGTGTTCCATAGGGTTAGGTTTGGGTGTTCCATGAAGGTAGGTTTGGGTGTTCCATGAAGGTAGGTTTGGGTGTTCCATAGGGGTATGTTTGGGCCCTTTGTTCACAATATCCATAAACAACATAGATGAGAGAATAAACAACGACATAATCCAAGGAAAGATGTTGTAAAATATGCTGGGGATGTAGGGATAGATAAGTGAATAGTATAGTGAGTAGCGCTGATTGTGGTACAGAGTAACATATCTTTGAGAGGATCTCAACTGTTTTGGATACTTTTTTTATGTGATGAATATAGGTGTTGAATTTCAGGTTGCTGTCAAGTTGCAGACCCAGGAATTTGCCCTCATTATGTATAGCAATAAGAGTGTTGTCAATCATAATGTTCAGCTGGGCATCACCTGCTCTGCTCCCAAACATAATGTAGAAGGTTTAGTCAATATTAAGTGTAAGTTTATTGGCGGTCATCCAGGTCGGTATTTTTACTAGCTCTTTGTTAACAATAGAGTTGAGTGAGGCAAGATTAGGGTGGGAGATGACATAAGTTGTGTTGTCAGCAAAGATAATAGATTTAAGTTGTTGTGATACGTAAGGAAGATCTTTGATGTATAAGAGAAAGAGAAGGGGGCCAAGGATACTTCCCTGTGGTACTCCAGTATCCAATGGTCTTGTTGATGAGACTGTGTCCTTAAAAAAGACTTACTGACGTCTGTTAGTAAGGTAGGATTTGAAATGTGTAAGTGTGTGGACTTTTATACCATAATAATCAAGTTTGAAGAGTAGGATGCTGTGGTCGATAAAGAGTCCTACAATTGCGTTATTTGTGCTTTTGCTTTTCTGAAGCCAAATTGGCAGGGGTTGAGGATGCTTTGCACTGTTAAAAAGGAGTATAATCTCTTGTGCACGAGTTTCTTGAAGATTTTGGATAGCAACGGAAAGTTTGATATTGGCCTGTAGTTGTTTACATCTGTGGGGTCACCACCTTTGTGTATTGGTGTAACCCTTGTTATCTTGAGTAGTGTCGGGAAAGTGCTGGTTTCGAGTGATTTGTTAGAGAGTAATGAAATAGAGGGCGAAAAAAACATGAGCCGCTCGTTTGTACAATAATGGCGAGACATTAGCCAGATTTCCTGATTTATTTTTAAGCGACTTAATAATCGTGGTGACTTCCGTGGGCTCGGTTGGTGCAAGATAGAAGGAAGTTGGGAAATTCCCATCTCAGTAATCACTCACTCGGGCATTAGCACCTGGGATTTTCCTGGCGAGATTTGATCCTTTGGTTGAGAAAAGTCATTTATCTTGTTAACTGTATCAGTAGGCTGCAGCTGTGTTTCACTAGATTTAGCAGGACAATATCCCTAGTTTTTTTCAGTTTGTGGGTGCTTAGAATCTGAGAGCATCTTCCAGGTCTTTTTTTAATATCTCCTCTTGTTTCGGTGAATCTATTAGAGTAGTACAATTGCTTAGCATTTCTTATTAGTTTGGCGAGGTCTGATGCATAGTGTTTAATATCTTTGTTTATTAAGCCCTGTCTATATTGCTTTTCATATTGATGATTCTTGTCAATAGATCTTAGTATGCTGTTAGTAAGCCATGGGCAACTTAGCCGTTTATTCATAATCTGTTTTGGTTTTATGGGAAAATGTTTGTTATATAGTCTGTTAAGAACTATGTCTATCCAATCATGGATACCATTGGAAGTGGAGAATTCTGTAGGCCAGTCAACCGTACCTAGCTTTGTTTTGAAGTCAGTAAGTAAGTTTATTCAGGTATACACAAATAGTTACATAGATTATCATACATAGCAGCATATCAGACCTGAGCTTGCTACCATCTGCAGCTCATAAGACTGCCATCCCCACGAGCCCCTTTGAGGCGGGGTAGATGGCAGACCAGAGGCCTAGCTTCTTTCTACGAGCCCCGTTAGGGCAGGGAATGTGGCTAGGCCTGGGGACACTTGGTCCCAAAGATGAGGAGGTACTATACCTCCTCCCATGGGAGACTTAAGTCTCGAGACACTCCCCAGATAGGGAGCCAAGGCCGGGTCACCACTACTTGGAAAAGACCCGGGCCGGGAGAATACCGGCGAATAAAAAAAAAAAAAAAAAAAAAAAAGCAGCATATGTGTAGAGAACCTAGGATAACCCAAAAAAGTCAAACATAGTGACTTATTTCCATTGGGGTCCTTTTGTTTCCACTGATGCCTCGTCATGGAGTCTAAAAGAGAGCTTGTTGTATTCCAGTGGTTGTTTACTCATGTTTGTTAGGAAGGTTGGGTAGTGGTCTGTAGTGCTGTCTGTGATTATCCCTGATTTAAGGTGAACTAGTATATTAGTCCATATATGGTCAATTATGGTTGCACTTGTCTCAGTAAGCCTGGTTGGTTTTGTTATAGTTGGTATGAGAAGTGTGTTGTTCATATTGTTGATGAAATCAGTTACTGGCTGGTTATCTATTAGGCTAAAGTTAACGTTGAAGTCTCCGGCTAGGACAAGGTGGTGCTTTTCATTTGGTTGTCTGTTATTAGTGTCTTTAATTTATCGCTAAAATTTGGGATTAAGGTTTTTTACAGAAAAATTTGCAAAAATATATTCTCCATATTCATCATTATAGCAAGTGGTGCTACAACATGATTGTTCAATCGAGTAATAGATACATGAGTGGGTGTGAGTTTGACTTGACTAGCTTGCGCTACTAGGTTACATGCCGTGCCCCTTTTTTAAGTGAACGTGACCTGACCTGACTAGGTTAAGGCACTGGCTTAAGCTGGTAGAATTGGACCTGCCTCGCATAGGCCAGTAGGTCTTCTGCAGTGTTCCTTCTTTCTTATGTTCTTAATACCACCCCGAAGTGATAAGGTAAAATACAAATATACAAAAAAGTAGATATATATACTTTCTTGAAGTAGTAATAAAGAGATCTTGTAGTGATTAATAACAATTAAAACTATGAGATAAAGTGGTGATTGAAGAATTAAGACAGTTGATAGCTGTGAGATAAACAAATATACTAGTAGGAATATATAAAAGTGAAACACAAAATTAACAAAAGTAGTATGAGAGTATTAGGATTTAGTGAAGAAATTTTATGACAGTATATAAAAGTTACAACATTGTTCATAACACTACTCTTGAACTATCATCTTCCTATCACTAATAATAGTAATAATCATGTGTTTCTTAACATTCATGGCACACTAATGTTTTCTGGTATTTTATCTACATACAAAATGTATGACTTTTGAAGGAAGAATTTTGCTACATTTTCTCAAGAGAATCATAAGGAAACCATGCAGAACTATTAAGGAAAATATTGGTAAGTACTCATTAATTATTATTAAATTCATGGGGGATGGGAGTCCTGGGAAGGAGTAAGCTTCAGTTCAGACGAAGGAAGTGTAGCTCCAGTTGTATAAATGAAAAAGCGGCCACCAAAATCTTCCAGGAACCTGAACTTGAATGTTATTTTTAGTATATTTCTCTTGTGTCCTCGTTGTCCAGGAACTTTTGAATAAAACCTTCCTTTTCCATTCCAGTTCAGCCTCTGTACCTCATTCCTATGCTTAAATGTTAACATTTTTCTTAAATATTGTGTAAAAATGCATGCAATATAATATGGATATTTGTTCAACTTTCCTTCGAGAATATATGTTTTTAAATGTTAAATAAACATGAATATGGAAAAGAAAAGGGTAATAATGTATTATGATTTTTCTTACTGAATTTAATCAAGGAAAAAAAGCAGGTACAGTAATAAATAATAAATATTAAAAGCATCAATGACCACAAAAAGGATTTCAAAAGAGACAAAGAAAATACATACACCTGCATATATGAAGTCATGACTTTCCCAATATTGTAGGATTCGTAGGCATAAATCCAAACACAATCTTGCACGGCCTCACTTCCTGTGAACTCAATACAATCCCAATCTGTGCTGCCAGGTTTCTTGAATGACCAAAACAGAGCGAGACTTACTTGGACACCTGTTCCTTCTTACAAAATCCTAAAGATTATTCAACTTACCCAGAATTTCATGAACTTCTCTCACTGGCTGCCAGAACTCTTACAACCTCCGTCTCTGCACATCATTGCATTATCTACAAACTTTTGTGGCCATTGTAAACTTTTTCTAGAAATACAGATCTTAATCTCGACGTCATTTACAAATAGTAATTAAAGACAATTTAAAACTGCAAATATTAAAATATTATTAAAACTGCAAATATAAGTCAATAATTTACAACTAAAAATACAAGTCAAAAGAATTTATTAACACAGCATCAACAGCTTCGAATATTGTTTAAACTCAGACTTAAGAATACTATTTTTTATTGAAAATAAAAATAAATGAAATTTGTTTCTTCACAAGTTGAATGATAAAATGTATTAATAAACTCTGTACAAAGTCAGTAAATATTATTTAAAAGTATTCTACTTCATAATCACGACTGATTGGAACGTAACATTTGTAGTTTCCGGACTGTAAAGGAGACTGCATTTGTTTCGTCTCACAACTGTGAATGATTGAAGGGCAGCAAGTACGACTCATGATTGGATGGGAGCATATTTATGTGCCACGAATAGATGGATACGTTTTATATTCTCTCACTGACTGGAAATTATTAGTTGCTTTTGTATTTCCCCATGATTGTGACTGCTCGGAGGGCAACAGTTTTATTGTTTATAATTGTGAATGATTGGAGGGCTACATTTCATTTTGCCCCATGACTCTGAATGACAAAGGCAGTATTTGTCCCGTGACTGGAGGGCTGCATTTTGTATTGCCCCATCAATGTGAATGGAGTGCAGCATTTGTATTCATCTGTTGCGTTGAGCTCTATCACAACTCATCACTAAAATCCTTATTATTAAAACTCTGGAAAGCCTCTTTATTTTATATACAGCTAAAACTTATCTACATCAGTCTTCAACTTCATGAGGTAATTTAATGGTTTTATTATCTAGTATTTCGTACCTATCCTGCGAGTTGTAGCCTAAACATTAAAGAGGTACATAATGAGTCCTTGGAATGATCTCCCCTCCCCCACTGTGTGTGAAGGTACAGTAGCAATTAACTATTTACAAACTTCATTTACTGTATTCAGTAACAGCTATATGGGGTTAGTTGTACAATGAATTGAGATACACAAGTATTACAATCCAGCATATTCATTATGTTACATATACTACTCGCTGGTCTACGGTACTGGTAAAAGGGCTCTGTCGATTAGGTAGTGGCTATGAGTATTTATAGTAAGCACAGTTAAGAGTATTTTCCATATTTTTGGCACTTTTAGCATTTCTTAAACATTTGTAAGCTTTCGTAAAGTCTGACTTTTTTTTCACACTCAAGCATATAATGACACAGGGTGTAAGAACAGCTCTACTGACAGAATTTACTTTTGATTAGCACCAAGTTAATTGGTGGTGCAAGCTTCATGAATACCACAAAATCTACATTGCAGTACTCTACAACATGCTGAGTTTTTCTAGCCTGCACACAGATAACAGTGTTACCACAACCTCCTTTATAAAACAGCTCAACGTGGACAGTTCACATATGTGTCATAATCTTGCAGGAACGTAACAGCAGCACTGTAGAGCAGCTCAAACTGTGCCTAGAGGGAAAAGGATGAAAGAAATTCTGAATCTGTTATAGCATGTACATGAGTAAGGAATAAAAACATCAAATGATTGCCACCAAGGTAAAGTGATCCAGTAAAGGAAATATATTCTCTGCTACTTTCTCCCTATATCTTTACAGAACACAGACATTATAATCAAATGATGAGAGTTAAACACATTATTCCCGCCCAAATTTCAAAGCGAAGGTAAATCTCTTACCACCAAAAATCGCGATTGGCTAGCCCAGTTTCCCTAAATCCCTTCAAGAGATACTGTCACGCTCACACTAACAGCAAAACAAATCCGAAAGGCCACTGGCCATTACTTATGTCAATCTAATATGCTCATGTAAATCTGCGGGATGTTCAAGACTACGTAAATCTCAGCACTTTTTGTCGCTTTCCTTCCAAACCTTTCTCAAACATCCCCTACACCTTACATCCACCCCAGATATATAGACCCTCTTGAATCAATCTTGCTCCAGGCTTTCTACATGACCAAATCATCTAGGTAACATTTCTTCTGCTTTCTGAATTACACCAATTATATCACCGCAGGCGAGAGATACACCTGGGAAGTTCTGGAGGGATTGGCCTCAAATTTGCAAACTGAAAGCAAGACTTGGTAAATGGTACAAAATACATTCAATGAAAAGCAGAGGGCAGACTTTTTAGTACGCCCTTAGATGCAACATCCCTACAATGTTTTACATAATGGATTTTTTTAAATAATCTCGTGCGTATGAAACCCATAATTTTACTAACATTATTATTCATTATGTATAAGATTCAGTTTATTTACCTGGGACACAAAGAACTGTGGTCGGGCACGCTGAAGATACACAACAGTGCGATAAACATCGATTTCATTATATTTCTGAAGTTTCTCAATAGTTAAGAGAACTCCTGCCATAAGTCCACAGCCTGTCACACCATCACTGTCAATAGTATTTTTCTGTTTAACTTATGTTTAGTAGTATAATGAGTGAGATGAGTATTTAAAATAATAAATGAACATTTATATTGTAAAGGAGAAGATACAGATAAATTAACTTCGGCTACTCGATTTTCGCTCATTTGGCAATAAATGGAAACATTTGCTTTATTGTGATATACTGCTAACCTTTGCACTTTATTACAAAGATAACGAAGTGAGATTGGCGAAGACGGAAAAACATCCAATTTATACTTGTGGAAATTTCCTTACCCACAGCAGAGCACAAGAGGGCCAGTCTCTGGGGTGTAGGGAGTCTGCAGCAACAATTCTGATACTCCAACTAATGCATCAGGTGAAGGAGGAACTTCACTACCATATGGCCATGAAGTGATCTGGTATACAGTAACTGTATGATGCACTTGCTGAGGAGAAACAGCATACATCAATCCTTGTCACATGTTTACTGCATTCCTGCACTCACTGAACTAAACTGTAGTATACACTATATTTGATGGTGAAGTAATTTAAAGCAGTAAATCTAAAAATCTGTTATTGCATTTGTGGGGTATATGTCAGGCATTGAGCAAATACATACACAGAAAAAAAAGTTGGTAGGCTTATTGACTTAAAGAACAAACTGGAGATATTGACATTTACAATATTCATATATTTTCACCTTGAAATTAATGCACCCTTTATGATAATGACTGACTTTAATATTGGCTCAAAGCTCGTCAGTGGAATGTCCTTCACATTACCTCGGCACTGAATCTCAACATTTCTGGTGCTCTACCACACTGGTGCCACCTATTCAACAGGTTACCTTGATGCAGTGAAGGGCTCTTCATGCGAGGAATTGCAGCTATTTTTCCCTTGGTTTGAACATGATCACCTCCCATTAACCAGGTACTGTATGCTTTCTACAAGTTTAGTGCTTCCCCATGAATGAAATAATATTAATAGAATCTTAATATTACACAACAATTATGTTCACATACGTTTTGAGAGATAATTTCAATAGAGTAGATGACAAAAGAGTTGTACTGAGCAGCGTGAAGTGTGTGGATGGTGTAGGTGCCCAGGATGAGATCAGCATCTTTTCTTGGCAACACTTCTGGAAACTCCTTTAACACAACAAAATAATAATTAGTGAAGTATTGGAGTGTCAATGAAAGCAGAGATTAAGCAGAACCCTACGCATTTAGTGACTCGGAAAGCAGAGAGGAAAATGATAAAACATAATCACACGAGAAGTTGAAAAAAAAAGAAAATTAAAATTTTCCTGATACAGTTCAAACACTAAATTCACATTTTAAGCAAAATATCTTAGTGAGTCGGAAAGCAGAAAGGAAAATATGACGTAACCATAAGAAAAGTTGAAAAAAAAAGAAAATTAAAATTTTCCTGATACAGTTCAAACACTAAATTCACATTTTAAGCAAAATATCTTAGTGACTCGGAAAGCAGAGGAAAATAATATTTGCCAATCATACGAAAAGTTGAAAAAAGAAAATTAAAATTTTCTTGACAGCTCAAACACTAAATTGACATTTTAAGCAAAATATCTTAACGATTGAAGATAACACAAATTACCTTCTCATATCCTTCATATGTGTTGATAAGAACAACATTTGGACATTTCTTCTCAACCACCAGCCTCCAGAACTTGGCGAGAGTGGACGGTAGAGGATGCTCTGTCGCCACCATGGTGTTGGGATGATCAAGACCGTTCAATCTCACGGCATTAATGTATTGAGAAAGCATCTTGCCATTCTCCATTTCTAAGAAAATTCTTTGAGTATCTGCTGGTAAAATACTGTGATTTCGGTTTTGGGGATAAAATTCGCGCTGTGATGCACCTCGGAAAGTGAGGCCAGAAGGAAGAGCCTTAGCTTTCTGGTAGAGAGCACTGCTGCTCTTTAGAAACTCTTTAGTCTGATCCTGTAAGCTAAATGAAGAAATAACAGTTTTGGCTCCGAAGAGAACTTCATCAAAAATCTGAAGAGCGAGGTTGTACTGAGCAACATTCTCCACTAATCTAGCACGACATTCACGAAGGTGCTTCAGGACCTCTAATGGGTCAATACTGTCGTGTATCATTAACATCTCGTGTAAAAGCATCACCATCAGAACAGTGCCAGTGCGTCCAATACCAGCTGAACAGTGGGCAACCACACCACCTAGGGAATGAGGAAGAAAAATAAAGCCGCATACACTTCACATGCTGAATTTATAATTCCTATGTTGATGATACAATAATTACTATCCTAATCATACAATAATTATTGTGCTGAGTGAATGGCCATTGCTATATTGAGAATGAAGCTACTGTACTGACCATACAACAATTGCTATCCTGAGCGTAGGACTACTTTATACTATGCCAGAGCTTGCAGGCTAGTTTATGTCAGATTAGCATATTCGTTTATACTGTGTCAGAATCAGCATGCAAGTTTATACCATGTCAGAGTTTGCATGTTAGTTTACATTATATTAGTGCTACCATGCACATTTAAACTATGTCAGCATTACCATGATAGTTTATACCGTCAGGGCCAGTGTATACCATGTTTGGGCTAAATTATACCATGTCAGCACTAGCATGTTATTTTATATTGTCAGTCCTACCATGCTAGTTTTACTGTCAGAGCTCCTATGCTAGTTTATACTGCCAGTTACCATGCTAGCTTATACTATTTCAGAGCCACCATGCTAGTTTGTACTTTCAGAGCTACTAAGCTATCTTATACTACGCCACAGCTACCATGCTAGTTTATACTGCCAGGGTTATCATTCTACTTTATACTAGGTCAGAGCTATCATGGTACTTTATACTAGGTCAGAGCTATCATGGTACTTTATACTAGGTCAGAGCTATCACGGTACTTTGCACTAGGTCAGAGCTATCATGGTACTTTATACTAGGTCAGCCATTAATAACTTCACAACAGCAGTAGCAAACATTGACTGGCACACTGAGCTAGAAATCAATACAGATATTGACGAATGTATTAATAATTTTCTAAAAAAGACCCAATACCTCTATAACAAGCACTGCCCTAAAAAAACTAAGCAGATGACAGCTAAGAGACTGAACAGTCCCTGGCTAACACCCAGCATTCTCAAATCCATAAATACAAAACACCAATATGAAAAACAGTACAGAATGGGTCACATAACCAGAGACCAAACAAAACGTTACTCGTCAATCCTAACCAGCCTGATAAGAAGGGCAAAAAAATTGTATTATGAGAACAGATTATCCAACTTACGAGGTGATATAAAAAAGACCTGGAAAACCCTATCAGAAATTCTGGGAACAAAAAAGATATCACGAAATAGCGAAATAAAATTAGCAAAATCAGATGAACCCTAACTCCCACCAACAGAAACAGCAAACCGACTCAATGATTTCTTCTCCACTATAGGACAAAACCTTGCCAATAAAATCCCAAGCTCAGATACCCCACCAAATGACTACCTCACCGGCAACTACCCGAACACACTGTTCCTAGCTCCGACTAACCCATACGAAGTCTCCCTTATTATCAACGCACTAAAAAACAAGGCAGGAGATTTAAATACCTTACCACCCTTTATATACAAAAAAGTGTCACAAGTGCTATCACCAATCATTGCAACACTCTTTAACAAATCCATTGAATCCTCCACCTTCCCTACAGTACTCAAAATAGCAAGGGTCACCCCGATCCACAAAGGAGGAGACCAAACAGAGTTGAATAACTATAGGCCAATATCCAACTTACACCCTCTCTCAAAAATCTTCGAAAAATTAATTCATAAACGAATCTACTCCTACCTTATCTCCCAAAACATACTCAACCCCTGCCAATTTGGATTCAGGCCTAATAAAAATACTAATGATGCTATTATACACATGCTAGAACATATATACACTGCAATAGAGAAAAAAGAAGTCCCACTGGGGATCTTCATTGACTTACGTAAAGCTTTTGATACAGTTGACCATGACTTGCTCCACGTAAAATTGTCACACTATGGTATAAGAGGGCACTCCCTCAACTACCTCAAGTCATACCTCAGCAACAGAAGCCAATATGTGTACGCAAATGGGGCAAACTCTTCTGCACAACCAATTACAGTTGGTGTCCCACAGGGAAGTGTCCTTAGCCCTCTTCTCTTTCTCCTATACATAAATGACCTACCAAATGCTTCGCAATTACTCAAACCCACACTATTTGCTGATGACACAACATACGTCTTCTCCCACCCGAGCCCAGTCACGCTAGCCAATACTGTAAATACTGTAAATATCTACCTGGATGAGTACTAACAAACTTACACTAAACATTGACAAAACCTACTTCATTCAGTTTGGTAACAGAGCTACAGATGTCCCTCTTAACATAATGATAAACGGATCACCTATCACAAAGCTAACAGAGGGAAAATTCTTAGGAATCCACCTTGATAATAGACTCAAATTTCATACACATATACAACAAATTTCTAAGAAAATTTCCAAGACTGTAGGCATACTATCGAAGATACGGTACTATGCTCCACAGTCAGCCCTCCTGGCCCTATATCACTCTCTTATTTACCCCTATCTCACCTATGGAATTTGTGCATGGGGCTCAACAACAAGTAACCATCTCAGACCACTAATTACCCAACAAAAGGCTGCAGTTAGAATGATAACAAATTCTCACTACAGGCAGCACACTCCACCAATATTCAATACACTCAACCTACTCACCATACAAAACATCCATACTTATTACTGCACCTATTACATACATAGAACACTCAACTCTGATATTAACCCTCCCCTCAAACATCTCCTTGCCAACCTCAACAGAACACATGACCATAACACAAGGCACAGATCACTCTTTGATATTCCTCGTGTCCATCTCACGCTATGCAAAAACTCATGCACATAAAAGGCCCTAAAATCTGGAATTCATTACCTGTAAATATAAAAGAAACACTACCTGTTTATAAATTCAAGTCTCTTCTCAAAGATCACTTACTCACCCAAAACCAAATAAATACTGAATAACTGAACCTTATAAATTGTATATCTTAAATGCTTCTCACAATTATATCACATAAATGTTAAACCTAAAACCCAATCTAACTTTATTATTTTTTAAATACACTACCTAACAGAATACTCCATTCTACTGAATTTACAACAATGCATGCAACCATATGACCTGTCTTTGTAATACTCACTTGTGCTTTATAGTAATCTGTTTACATTAATGTTTTTCACTGATTTCATCATTGCTTAGTTAATCTTAAGTTAATTTTAAGCCAGCCCGTAATGCTATGCATAGTATAAGTGGCTTTGGCATGCTGCTCTTGTCTGTATTTTTTTGTACCTCTGTATGTGTGCTCAAATTATAAATAAATAAATAAATAAATGGTACTTTATACTAGGTCAGAGCTATCATGATACTTTATACTAGGTCAGAGCTATCATGGTACTTTATACTAGGTCAGAGCTATCACGGTACTTTGCACTAGGTCAGAGCTATCATGGTACTTTATACTAGGTCAGAGCTATCATGGTACTTTATACTAGGTCAGAGCTATCATGGTACTTTATACTAGGTCAGAGCTATCATGGTACTTTATACTAGGTCAGAGCATCATGGTACTTTATAACTAGGTCAGAACTATCATGGTACTTTACACTAGGTCAGAGCTATCATGGTACTTTACACTAGTCAGAGCTATCATGGTACTTTATACTAGGTCAGAGCTATCATGTACTTTACACTAGGTCAGAGCTATCATGGTACTTTACACTAGGTCAGAGCTATCATGGTAATTTACACTAGGTCAGAGCTATCATGGTACTTTACACTAGGTCAGAGCTATCATGGTACTTTACACTAGGTCAGAGCTATCATGGTACTTTACACTAGGTCAGAGCTATCATGGTACTTTACACTAGGTCAGAGCTATCATGGTACTTTACACTAGGTCAGAGCTATCATGGTACTTTACACTAGGTCAGAGCTATCATGGTACTTTATACCACATTAGAGCTGGAATTATAACTTTTATGGACTCAACAGAAGTGCAAAGAAATCACAACAGCTGCTGTTTAGACTACAAACAATTTTAAAAAACGTAATTACAGAAACTGATTGAATAATGCTGAATGTTTCGTCTTGAAGGTCATCCTATGTTGGAGGGGAACAGTCTGTGTAGTAAAAAAAAAAAAAAAAAAAAAAAAAAAAAAAAAAAAAAAAAAAAAAAAAAAAAAAAAAAAAACTTCAGCTGAAATTTAAATATATCCAAGAAATAATCATAGTTTTAAAGCTTAGAATTAAATCCTTCTGGCAGATTTTTATTATCTCGAAAAGAGGATTATAAGAAAATAAAAAATGGAGGAAAAATGCAGCAGGCCTACTGTCTCATACTTGGCCGTTTTTTTCTCAAATCCAATAACTGTCACTGATAATACTACTTAAGAGATCAGCTTTAGTCATTTTTCATAATAGCAAAAGTTGCAGGGGATATCAAGTTCAATGAAAAAAAAAATAAATAAATAAATTGGGGACTATAAGCCTACCTTCTGAATGTGTTTGGATAATCTGTCGTATCATGGTACCCAGACTGTGGGCCTCACTTGGCACATCATGGTCTGGCCAGCTGGTGTAGTGATAGTGTGTCACTGTGTGTGCAACTCCGTTCTTCCACACCTGGAAATTCAACCGATTTTACGTACAAATATTTCTTTGTGATACGCAGCGTCTATGTTATCCGACTGATATTTAACATCTAGACATGGTATCTTGTATTTAATCGAAGTAATGCATCAGGACGATTTTGTGGAAAATATTGATATAAGTCCAGGTAAATTACACCTGATGATTCCATACTGATAGTGCTGCATCCCACAAGGTTCACATTCCCTTTAAATACACCATCAATTATACCTAATGCACAATGCTGGCAATACAAAGTGCTTACCCACAATACCAGAAGCCTTATGAATAAATCAAAATCTTTGTGCACCGAACATATTCTGACAGAGAAATTCCTGGTACAAGTATGAGTGGAGTGAGTTACATGTAAGGGTAAAAAATTATACTACTGAGTATAACTTACATGTGGCCATACGGAATTTAGCTACCCTATAACAGGTAGCTAAATTTCATATGGTAATATCAGTGTTTGGATCAATTTTATTTCTGGTTTCGTTTTCATTTTATTTTAAATATTCAAATTTTGAATGTTATCGTCCAGTAATGTATTTAATTTTATCATATATTACTTTAAATTTATGTAATAGCAAATGCTATCATCACTAACCAGTATTATAAATTTATATATAAAATATAAATTTGCATAGCACTATAAATTTCCATAAACACCATAATTTGCATATAAAATACTATAAATTTGTATAATATACTATAAAATACTGTTTATATTAATAAACAAAGCAAACAAAAACTTTTACTCAGATCGACACCATGCCTAACCCTTCTAGGGTAGGGTAGGTGCCTGAGCCCGAGCCTTTAGCTCATAAGACTGTCATTCCCATTTGCTCCCTTGGGGCGGGGATGGCAGACCAGAGAGGCCTAGCTTGTGGCTAGGCCTGGGGACAGTTGGTCCCAAAGATGAGGAGGTACTTGTGCCTCCTCCCATGGGAGACTTAGGTCTCAGACACTCCCTAAAGAGGGAGCCAAGGCCGGGCCACCACTTGGACAAGGCCCGGGCCGGGAGAATACCGGCTAATCTTTAACTAACTATTTTACTCAATCGACACCATGCCTAACCCTTCTAGGGTAGGGTAGGTGCCTGAGTCCAAGCTTTTAGCTCATAAGACTGTCATTCCCATTTGCTCCCTTGGGGCGGGGATGGCAGACCAGAGAGGCCTAGCTTGTGGCTAGGCCTGGGGACAGTTGGTCCCAAAGATGAGGAAGTACTTATGCCTCCTCCCATGGGAGACTTCGGTCTCAGACACTCCCTAAAGAGGGAGCCAAGGCCGGGCCACCACTTGGAAAAGGCCCGGGCCGGGAGAATACCGGCTAATCTTTAATAATAATAACTTTTACTCAGATACAACTCTCACCATAAATCCTTTAAAGTTAAATATTACTTTATTATATACATTACCTGAACCAAAGAGACGTTATAATGTGAATGTTGATCAGTCTTGATGACCTCCACAACGTAGCCATCAACCTCAAGGCTCTCCCCGAAGTTAATATACTGACCTACTTTCCTCTGTCAAGAGTAGAACAAAGTTAATATACTGACCTACATATTTTCCTGTCAACATTAGAACAAAGTTATTATACTGGAATACTCGACTCAGTCAACATCAGAACATAAACTTAATTAGACTATATGTGGATTTTTTTTTATAATTTTCCTGTAATCTATGTGTAAGAATTGATGGGGATAATAATGTTTATCTGAAATTGTGTAGGTGTGTAGTACCTTCAGTGACTTTTAAAAGATGTTCTGATATGAGACCCCCCCCCCTCAAAGAAGGTTCCTTGACGCTGGCGAGGGGCTCTTGATCTAGGGAACTGGATCTGTGCTCCAGTTCCTGAATTGAGCCTGAATACCTTCCATTCCCCCACATGCGCTGTATAATCCTACGAGTTTAGCGCTCCCCCATGATTACAATAATCTGACATGAGAAATAATATTCTCCATTATTTTCTTATATTCTGTAAGAAGTTGAATAAGCGAAAATTACTGTAGTTTAGAGGAAATTACTCTTTCAATAATGAAAATATAGTACACACCTGAAAGGATTATTAATTAATTGAAAAGATGTATTGGTAGACAAAACGTCGGGGAGAGCAACGAAAATGGCGGAGTAATGTAGATCGGACCGGGATTTTGTGGAGAATTAATTTCATTTAATCTAAGCCGACAGAAACAGTACCGGCAAATATAGTGTCCTGTATAATACGTGAATTTAACGTGTATCTGGAAGGGTTAAGATACAAAGTGAAACTATCAAAATAAGGATACGAATGAAAATGTGAGGTGTTGCCCAGCACATATATCAGCTATGTACGCCTCCCAGTGTGAATTAAATCTCACTACAGTCTACAGGTAATGTAAATATTTATTGGCCAACATTAGTTGCCTACCAATATGGAGGAGTTAGGATATGCCATCAAGACCAAAATCTTATAAGAAATATTTCCTCTTTTTTTATTGAAACTATGTAACACGTTTAAATTATTGGAACTGTGTTATATACACAATAAGATATTAACAAATTATATAAAATTTGTTAAGTCCAATAATTAATCCTGAATATATACAGTCCACGACCAAATTTCCCCTCAAGGAAGGTTCCTTGATGTTGGTGAGGGGCTCTTGATTTAGGGAATTGGATCTGTGCTACAGTTCCCCGAATTAAGCCTGAATGCCTTCCACATCCCCCCCCCCAGGCGCTGTATAATCCTCCGGGTTTAGCGCTTCCCCCTTGATTATAATAATAATAACACGACCAAATTTAATACAGCCAGTGTTACTGCCTTGAAGTATTTTCTTGAATATATTCACATAATTTAAGGTCCTGATATGTGAATTTGGGGACCTGATTATTATTGTCATGGGGAGCGCAAAACCCGTAGGATTATACAGCGCATGTGGGGGGATGGAATGCATTCAGGCTCAATTCAGGGAACAGATCCAATTCCCTAGATCAAGAGCCCCTTTCCAGCGTCAAGGAACCTCCCTTGACGGAAGGTTGGGGAGCTGAGGTGGTCATCGGAGGGACAGTGTAGTGACCCACTGTTGCTGAAGTCCAACCTGTCACCGTGGTACAATTATAGCAATAAGTGTAATCTGTATTAGATGTGCCAGAGTTCTCCCCAGTTACGTGTGAAATGTTAATTGAGTATTGTTCCTGTGAAATTCACCCATATAATTTCACACACTACACCTTATAAATGTTGAACTGTGCTTATTATTATCATCATCATTATGCGTTGTGCTAAATCCGTTTCGATGACACAGCGCCTTGGAATAGAAGGGGTGTAGAAGGTACTAATGTACCAATACATTGTACTAACACAACATATTAATACACTATACTAATATAATGTATTTATACAATGGACTAATCCAATAATGCTATACTAGGTAACAATGTAATTATACAATATTCTAACACACTGCACTATACAATACAGTGCAGTAATATAGTATATTATACAACGTAATACAATTTATTAATGTAAAGTGAAACCTGCCCACCAAAACTATTACATTTTATCTTTCTTCACACTAGTTTCCCTCTCCAATATTAGCCTTGCAACACTACTCTTGCAATATTTCCTAACAGCTGACAATGCTACGTCAGCTTATATTATGTTCCAACATAGGCTTACTGCATCAAGTGTTTTTTTTCCCATGAGAATTTCTCACGGTTTGCAGAAAACTTTCACGATATTAATTACGTAGGTTTGATAAGGTTTACCTGGAGTTTACCTGGAGAGAGGTTGGGTTTAATTAGGCTAGTTTGCCGTCTATCGATAAAAAAATAACCAATTACAGTATACTACTAAGGCAATAAATTAATAAAGGCGATAAAGCTTTTGATGTGGAAACAGAAAAAGGGGAGCCATTTAGCGTACTAGGAAGATCTGTTAGTAAATCATTGTTAATAAACTTCTTTATCAGTCACCCATTTGATTGTCTTAAAAACTGAAATACTGTCTGTTGTCAAGAGGATGGGATGTTCACTCATGTAATTTCTAAAAAAAAATATTGTTCACAAGGATCTTATTAAACTGTAATAATAATGTTATGAAAAATGAAATCGAAAACAAATTGAATAATTATACACGATACTCCAGATTTAAAGTCTAGAAAAAAATGTCTGATTACATCTTGCAAAATAAATAAACAAAAGTCATTTGGCATTTTGCATGACAGTAATACAAATCTTGAATAAATTATATAATTTGCAAATATTTACAAAATATATTAAATTACCTTTCCACCTTCGACAAAATTAGCGACCATTACAATAACAGAGATATGTTGTTCTCGAATCATTCTCCAGAAGTCACCGATGGTGTTCACGTTGGCATCCTTGGGCCCTTGTGAAGCAATGTATTTAAGAACTCCACCAAAGCCCTGGAAATATCAGATAAAGTAGTATATATGGAGTGCAACAGTTCGTGATTTTATTTAAAAATTCTATGCTAAATATTTTATGCATATAAAGCATGCAGAAAAAACATGTAAATGAGGAAAATGTTTGACCACCTTAGAACAGTATATAATATTTTGCTTAAGTGTTTCACATTCACTTCCATCCTAAACTGAATCATATTCTACTAAACCACAGGCATGGAAATGCAGAGCTTGAGAAAGGTAAATGCCATAATTTCAATTATAAGTTTCATGATGTCACAGTTTAGCATGCCTGAAATGCTCTATAATTTAGTGGCTTTCTGAATAGCTTGTACATTTTTGCAACTATTTGTAAAAGACTGATTCGTAACTTTTAAACTTTATTTGGGAATAAAATTTATTTTCATTTTCATGTACTGAAAAGCAATAGTGGCAATGAGATTAACATGAGTAATACTGATATGATATGGTCAATACATAGCCATGAGAAAACAGTCTCCCTTAAGCTCCAACAATGAGTGGAGAAAACCCAAAGCCAAGTGTGAGTTATCAGAAAAGTCTGAGTGTCAGTGCCTGTTATTCAGCTATTATTATAATAATGACAGAAGACAAACTGAAAAGAATGTCTGCAGTCTTACATCTTGGATCGTGGATCTGCAGTAACCTCCAGTACCAAAACACTGCAATTGGTGGCAGCAATAACACAAAACTACACAAATTCCCTTATCTATCCCTCTGGTACTAAATTTTGATGAAATTTGATCTACTGAAGCCAAGAAGAGATGCCCTTCCTTAAGGAATAAAAGGCTCCACCAAGGTCCCACCCCGGGGAACAGACAAGGTACCTCCCAAGTGCAAGCTCTCAGACCCTCCAAGGTAGGATAACCCTGCTTCAGGAAAAAGAAGAAGAGCATGGTGAGTAAGAGGAGGTGGCTTATGTGGAGGAGAGTGTGTGCATACTGATCATACAACCCTCTCATAATTTCTATTAAAATAACTTATATTTATTCAAAACTAAATAAGTGAACTAATGTAACACCTTTTAATTAAATAAACTTTTTTAAGCAAAAATAAATGTGGAACATATTTCAGAGTGTAGCTGCGTTAAGGTGCAAGAATGTAAACTAATGCTGGAGAGTACACTGGATCACAGTAGTCTGAAATGTATCTAGTCTTATACCTCTTCAAGGGGGGCTCCTTGGCGTGGTGGTGAAGAGGCTCTTGGTCTGAGGAATTAGCCCTGTCGGTCTTCTTCCTCAGACCGAACCTAATTACCCCCCATTCTCCCCTCCCCTATCCCATCCTCCCCTTTTTCCATTCCTCCTCCTCCTCCCCACCCCTCCCTTTTGCCCTTCCTCTTTTTGGCCTTTGGGATTTCTCCCACAGGCACGCTAGTTCCTAGGTAGGGGAAAGGACACCGGGGTCCATCCCATTCCGTTGAGTTTTTGGGCGGTGGCGTAGTTTGCCGTGGAATCTGGATTGCCTGGGGATGTCCCGATCCCTCTCCGGTATCCCGGAGTAGCTTTGGGTGTCTTTCGGGCGACGGGTGTATCTCTGGAAGCCACCTTTCGGATTCCGGGGGTGGTGGCCGAAGGAGGTATGCTTTGTGGCGGATATCCGGCTGCCCTCTCTTTTGTCCACCGAGGTAGCTCGGCAGATGTGAGGTTGCTATCCCGGATTGCTGGTTTACTGGCATGAAGGGTAGGGTATGGCACGGGTTCCATGCTGCATCTGCGCTACTAGCGGTGCTGAGGTCCTCTTGGGCGCGGAGGGAGATTTCCGGCCCTTTCATTCCTCCTGGGAACTATTCCTCCCCGCTCCCCCCTTTTTTTATTTTTTTTTATTTTTATTTTCTTTTCTTCTTTCTTTTTTTTTCTTAAAAACAAAAAGCAAAGGAGTAACCTAACCATGGCAGCCCTAGTCCATGAACCCACTACCCCCGGGCCCCTTCTTGATACCGCACCCCATTCTGACCCTGCCTTGTGTTTAGACCACTCTTCGGACACTCCTGATGCCCCTGTACCTCTTGCTGGTGCTGTTTCCTCACCCGCTTCAGGTACTGGGGCTTCGACTGACTCCTTCGATTGTCTGAACTCCGCTCTCCTTTGACTATGCTTCCGGCTTCTCCCTCTACGGTATGGCAATTTTCGAATCGCCCGCCCATTTCACGCCGGACCAACTCCGGTCCTACTCCTAAACGCCAACGTCAATCTCCTGATGATGCTCCTTCGTTACCTTCCCATTCTACTCGGAAAAGACCGACACATCAAGCACCCTCTCCACGCTCAGTTTCGGACCACACAATGGACTAAATTCTTTACTTTAAGACTGACTTCTTCTTCTGCCTACCTTTCTGACCATAGTATTGGCAAAGCGCTCCTGCGTCATGTTGGTAGAGATATTTCATTTCATGCTCTCAAGAGCGGTATGCGCATCGTCACTGTCCAGAATGCTACCCAAGCTCATGATCTTTCTCTCCTTTCGAATATCAATACTACTCCTATCACTATTGAAAAACATCTTTCTCTCAATTCTTGTAGTGGTACTGTCATTCTGCCCCATACCATAGTCCAACAGAATTTCCAGTCATGTGGCAATGACATTTTTGAACAGCTGGAACTCCAGGATCTCCCAATCCTCAAAGTAGACACTTATGTCCTTCCTGCCCGGGGGCGGAGACGTTACCCTTGCAATGTGGCTCGTTTAACTTTTGACAGCCGAGAACTCCCGTCCTCTGTATATGTCGCAGGATGCGGGACATCGGTTACAAGTTCCAAGTTCGAAAGGTGATACCTACACCGCAACAATGTAGAAATTGCTGGCGTTTTGGTCACCCAGCGAAATATTGCAGATCTATGGCCGAATGCCCAGTCTGTGGTGCCGACGGCCATTCTAATACATCTTGCAGTCAACCTCCATCTTGCCTTAATTGTAATGAAGCTCACCCTTCGTACTCCCGCCGTTGTCAGGTCTACTTAAATGAACGTGAAATCCGTTGCCTCAAAGAGGCAGAAGGTCCCCCTTATGCTATGGCAGTTACTAATCTCCGCCTCCAAGGGAGACGTTTCTTATTCTCGTGTTTCCAAACATCCCCCCACTTCTGGGGTCCCATCTTCTGCAGCCTCCTCTGTTATTACCCCTCCCATAGCCACTACGGCATCTAATCCTTTTGCTGTCCTTGGCTCTGATGTCCCGACTACAACTCAGTCTGTTCTCACATCTTCGCGTCCTTCCTCACAAGCCCCAGTATCGACAAGACCTTGTACGACACCTAATACCAATCGCCCCTCTACTCAGAAGTCCAAAAAATCCACATTGCTCAAATCTTCTTTGTCCCTTCCTTCCCTTCTTCCACCTCCACACTTTACCTTTCCAGTCTCTGTACCTAGTTTTTCCCCCTCTCTCTGGCTCTATTACAAGTGTGGAGATTCATCCTCCTCGTACTATGCCTTCCACCCCGTCCCCTCCCAAGTTTTCTCCTCTTCTGCCACCTCCCAGGTTTCTGCCTCTTCTGCCCCCCCCCACACTTCATCTCCATCCCTTACACTCTTCCCTCCCCCTCTACTTTGGTACAGTCCATTACTGTCCCAATCTTTACTCACCCTCCTCCTTCTATCTCCAATATGGTCTCCCATACATCTTTGAATTCAGAAACACTTGAAGCCATTTCAGAATATATTGCAGAGACTAAACCTTCAATGGACACAGATTCACTTCCTGTTCCTTCTCTTCCCTCTCCTCCATCTTTACAACCCCATTCTTCGCAACGCTCCGTTCCTTCGCTACTTGAACGTCTTCCAATGCCACCACACGTTGACTTTTCTAACCCCTCTAGTCCGTAGGTGCCTTTACCTACAGATTCCTGGTATTTTCTTAATCACCAATCATGGCCTATTTACAGTGGAATATCCGCGGCCTCAGGGGTAATCGGGGTGAGCTTCAGATGTTGCTTTCCAGGTTTTCCCCTGTTGGTGCTTGCTTACAAGAACCAAAATTACACTCGGCTGTTTTCCAACCTATCTCAGGCTATAATTTATTGTATTCTTCGGATCCTTTCTCAGATGGGACCTTTAATGAAAGTGCCCTTCTTCTACGCAATGATATTCCGTACTGTCAACTATATGTCCATACCTCGCTGCATTACACTGCAGCCCATATCCACTTGAATAAGTGGTTTACAATATGTTCTTTATATCTCTCTCCTTCTCGGGCATTTTCTATCCCAGACTTTGCCTTTCTTGTTTCATCCTTACCACCACCACTTCTGTTATTTGGGTGATTTTAATGCCCTACATTTCCTCTAGGCGGGTCTCATTGTGACTCACGTGGCATCCAGTTGGAGGCTTTTCTCGCCTCTCACCCCCTCATGTTTTAAATACGGGTACTCCCACCCATTTGATCCTCGTACTCATACTCTCTTGCATCGATCTATCAGTCTGCTCTTCCTCCACTGCACTAGACTTCACCTGGTCTGTTCTACCAGACTTACATGACAGCAATCATTTTCTGATCATTCTTACTTCTCCTTCCTATTCACCACCTTTCCGTAGCCCTCGCTGGCAATTTGATCGGGCAAATTGGGATCTTTACTCACACCTCACTGCTTTTAGTGAGGTTCCTTCATCCTCCATTGATGAGCTCCTACACATCTTCTCGACGTCAGTTTATACCACAGCTTCTCATTCTATACCCCAAACCTCAGGCAGGCATTCTCAGAAGTGCGTGCCTTGGTGGTCTCCTGCTTGTGCTCGTGCAGTACGTTTGAAACGTGCTGCATGGGGCAGGTACCGGTACAGTAGAACCGCTGAGAGACTTCTTGATTTTAAGCAGAAGCGTGCGATCGCTCGCCGTGTCATCCGTGAAGCTAAACACACTTGTTGGTGAGACTATGTTTCCACCATCACCTCTGCTTCTTCTATGAGTGCAGTCTGGAAAAAAGTGAGGAAATTGAGTGATAAATACTCTCCTGACCCGGCTCCTGTTCTACGGGTCGCTGGTGT